GGTCACACTGACTAATCTAGTCATAGGGTTTGTTTCATTTTATAGCCAAGCTGACCAGTCCCATGAGGCGTTGGCCTCACATATACTATTATACCTGTACAGACGTGTTTACTTCGGCATTTTTCTAACCTTTGAGGTCAAAGAATTCCATACCGTCTACCAAAGAGCAAGACATTAAGGCATTTATTATAATAATTACTATTGTTGTTGACAGAGGTTTCTGTCCTGCCCAGTCCCACAGCCCTTTAGTCCCAAAGAAACACACAGAAGCCTACATTAATTATAAACTAGTTAGCCTATTAGCTCAGCCTTCTTATTAATTAACTCATGTCTTATATTATCCCAAAATTCTTGTCTGTGTTAACCATGTGGCTTAGTACCTTTTATCAGTGAGGTATTCTCATCTTGCTTGTGTCCTCTGCATCTGGGTGACGACCGCCGACAGAGCCTTTCCTCTTCCCAGAATTCTCCTATTCTGGTTGCCCCACCTATACTTCCTGTCTGGCTACTGGCCAATCAGTGTTTTATTAAACAAGTGACAAATCTTTACAGGGTACAAGACCATTGTCCCACAGCATATTATTATTATTATTTATTAAAATACTACTAAAATTTCCTCTCTCATGTAACATATCTTGACCACAGTTTTTCCTCCCTCTACTCCCCCAGCTCCCTGCCACCTCCCTTTTACCCCAGTTCCATTCCTTCTCCATCTCCCATGAGAAAAGAGCAGGCCTCCAAGAGGCAACAATCAAACACAACAAAACAAAATACATTCAGACAAGGTAAAAGCCCTCACACTGAAGCAGGACAAGGCAACTGAACAGGAGGAAAAGGCAAAAGAGAGTGACATTTGCTCTCACTGAAAACAGCAAATTAAAAGCTGTAGCATATACACAGAGGACCTGGTTCAGATTGATGCAGCCAGGTGCTCTGCTTCAGTTTCTCTGAGCCAATATGAGCTCTGCTTATTTGATTTAGTGGGCTGTGTTCTCCTAGTGTCCTCCATCCTTTCTGACTCCTTTCTTTCATCCCCCTCCTCTGCAGGATTCCCCAAGCTGAAGGAACCCAATAGAGACATCCAATTTAGACCCTCTGTCTCTCTCTACATAATGTCTGGTTGTGAGTCTCTGGATCCGCTCCCATTTGCTGCTGGAAGAAGCCTCTCTGATGGTAAGTGGACAAGGCACTTACTTGTGAGTATAGCACAATACTATTAGGAATCACTTTATTAATTTTTTTTTAGATCAGTTGTGTTTGGTTCTAGCCTAGGTCTCTGCTCTTTGCAGCAATGTAAGGTGTGGGCTCTCTCTCAAGGAGCAGACCCCTTAAAGCATTCTTTGCACGGTTACACTGAAGCAACCTCAAGTTGATGTTATTTTATTGTAGCTTCCTGATTCTTCCATTGCGTTCCCCTCATAAACACACCACCATCTCCTAAGAACATGTCGAGTTTACAAATTTATTTTGGCAGCTTTGTCTCCTGCATGAAGAGAGGTCAAAGCACACAAAAGATGCTTCAAAGCATTTTGCGTTTGCGAAGACACTGATGTGAGGATTTTAATTATAAAATAATTATGGATCATTGAATCCATTTCTTAGCTTTAAAATAAGAAGAAATGTTTGCAAATGTAGCAATGAGATGTTTACAACAAAAAGAAGAACAAGAAGACAAAGCAGAACAGAAGTTGGCATCATTACCAAGGCGGCCAAAGTTTCACACACGGGAGACTGCTCCCAAGTGTAAGTGGGTTACCGGATGATGGAAAGGGTGAGAAAGAACACTCTGGAAGGGGAGCATCTCTTCATGAGGCTCTCAGGATACACCAGTGCTGCTCTTCTCAGGAGGATTTCCCTTAAAAGAGCACTTATTGTAAGAAAGCTTGATCCATCAGCCCCTCTGGCTTCCTGTCTTACTACACATCTCTTGTGCATACACTCCCAGCATTGTCATGCTCTCAGCCATGAGACATTGACCAAGCCCAGCAAAATTCAGTACCATGTTCTTGTACGTCAAGGCCTGGGAGTGCTTGTCTTCAACATTGCCCAGCCAGCCTGTTTGAGCGGAATAATACCCTGACTTGGTTCTTCGCAACTTATTTCTGAAGATGACATTGAATTAAAAGAGCTGAAAGCAGTGTGGTTTTAATTTTCTTGTACCTTGTCTCATACTTATTGGCTTCGGCTTTGGTTTTAAAGAGAGCATTTCTCACATTCTAAGGTATTATAAGGGAGATCACGATGAAAATATGAAAGAATAATGGGGAAAAGCAGATATCAACTGGATTTATATTTGGACTTTGCATCTGCTATATGAGTGTTGTTATCACTTTAAGGAAAATGGGGAATTTTCAGAGAGAGGCCCAGATTTTCAGAATACTCACACTCTTGATGAAAGTCAAACTACTTGGCAATAGTGAACTCTCAAATTTTTACTATATACTTAAAATATATACTTATATGTGCAAAATATAAATATATATAATACACTTATATACAAGTATATATAATATACTTTAAAAATTAGCATAAACTATACTATACATTTGCATACATATGTAAAGCTTGTATATACCTTATTATACTAATATTTTACTGATCATATATAGCATACATAAACAGAATTCTTTAAATGGTGAATCAACATACTGAAAAGGGGAGTGCTGGCACATGACAGTAATCTCAGCATTCAGGAGACTGACACAGAATTACAAGTTCAAAGCCAGACCCTGTCTCTAAAATGTATATACATCTCAGAAGCTCAGTGCTTGGATTCAAAAGACTTCCCTCCTTGCTTTGCAAGTTTTCTTGGAAATGTTAGAACAGAAGACATATATATCTGAAATTTAATTTGCCATTTTAAAGCAATCTAAGTTTAACCTACCACACCTGAATGGGTGAATATATGCTGTAGTGTCTTGTGATGGAGTGCTTTCTCTTGACTAACCGCCAATGGGAGGGCTAAAGAGCAGTTGCTTGGAGGCAGAATAAAGTAAGTCAAAAGCAATTTGACCTTTTCATAAAGCACTAGGCTATCACAATATTTATTATTAATATTTCTCATAAGTATAGCAGATTGTTTCACATCAGTTCAGTCTTTCTTTTTGGCTTTTGCTGCTATTGTTTTTGTTGTTTTGTTGCTTTGTTTCTGTTTTCGCTTTTCAGTGGAGGGGTTCTCCGAATATAGTCCGGGCTGATGCGAACTCCCTAACCTTCCTGGGTGTTGGCATTACAAGAAGGCATCATCAAGGCTGGCAGGTTCTTTCCATCATCCTAACCAGATTATACATCTTTTAAAGAGAAAGTGTGCCTTCCTACACTTTTTCTCTTCCTCTGGGGGTTCAGAAATTTGGGTACCCAGTCCTGTTGCAGTCCTATAGCAGCCTTGAGTCTAGTCTGCTACCTGACAGTTTTGTCCTTGGTGTACAACTTCATCATCATCAGAAAAAACAACTTGCTAGCAAAGCTGAGAGAAAATGCCTTCCTTTGACTTCAGACAAGGGCTGATTGTCATCAGTAGAAGGGTGTCGGTTCTAGTCTTGCTCTCTTAGCTAACTCACAGGCAACTTGACTATCATTGACAGTAGCTTCAATGGTTAAAATGTGTAAGAAGAAAGGACAGGAACAGGGTTGCTTCAGAAATAGAAGATCTACCACAAAATGCTTGTTCTCCAGAAGAAAAATAGCTCAATAAAGCTTTTTATCCAAGGAACATTTGAACTCCTGACAGAGTAAAATTATCCAGTTTCTGCTTAGACATGAACTGGAAGAGGAGAGTCGTTAATGATATAATTTATTTCAAAGATACCTGAGGGAAGACAGACCTGAGGGGAGGGAAGAGGAGAGAAGATGGAGAGGAAACAGGGAGGGGGGTGAGGGAGGTTAGGATGTCAGAAGGAAGAAGCAGGAAGTGTGGGGGGAGGGGCAAAAGACAGAAAATTAAAGACAGAAAAAGACAAGACTTGGCCCTCTATTTCACTTTGCGTTTCTGAGATGACCTATTTCTTCAAGAAGAAAAACTCAACCCCGGTCTGAGCCAGAAGCAGCAAGCACACTGTTGAAGGGACCTCCATCCTACTGTAGCCAGGACTCGGCTCACCAGGACTGGTATTAAGTAATTTTTCTTTAAAAATTTCTCCTGGGCTTGACCCCTAGAAAACTAACTCAGGGAAAGACGGATAGAGAGGATCCGGCCTGGGGGCAGCACTCAGATGCAGGCTGCTCTGAGCAAGCAGGCATGGAGCCTCCGATTAACACTGTGACTGGGACACAGCTGGCTTTGCATAAGGACATTAAATATACAGTACCACACTTTGGTCCTGGGCCCGGCCTCCGGCTGGTGGCACCTGGCCATTTGTCTCCGCCAGCCAAGGCCTGGCCCTGGTTTCCACGATACCGGGAATGCCCCACAGTTCGCCTTCACACCTGTTAGGGGGTTCTCCACTCTCGCCACCAACCCATCAGCAGCCCCCCGCAGCACTCTCCCGGGGCCCGCAGAGACGGCCAGAAGGGACACGGAGGCGCGCAGGGCCTTTCGGAGCCGACCCCTGCTAGCCCTGGCGCTGGAGGCTGGGCGGGGCGGGGGCCGTGGAAGGCGGGAGAGGTCGAGCCGGGTATGGGAAGGGCCGAGGGAAGGGCCGTCCCCGCTCGCGTAACGCTGCCGGAGCCTGCGGCAGAGGCGGCGGGGCTGAGCAGTGGAGGGGATGGAGTTGCCACCAGCCTCGACTCTCTTCCCCGCAGCCCCGGCATCACCTCCCCTTGCCCGGCCGTGCCACTCCTTAGGCCGCGCAGGGTGATCGTGGGAGCGAGTGGGCAGCAGCTCTCCCTGTACTGGAGAGGAGGGAGCGGCGGGGCTACGGCAAGGGGACTTTTAGTGTCCCGGGAGACCCGCGCGTCCCCCAAGCGCCCGGAGACCGTGATCCGGATCGAGCTACGCGCGAGTCCCCCGGGCACCGCCGGCGGCCGGGAGGAGGTGCGGGGCTCACCCGCTCGGTCCTAGGAACCCGAGTAGCCCATGGCGGGCAGCGACGTGGCCTGTGAGGGGCCAACGAGGAGGGGAGGCGCGACCCGGAGCCCCGGGGCTCCCGGGGGGCTGCGCAGCCAGGCAGCAGCTAGTGGTCCCGAACCGCTGTCCGCTACAGATGCTCCGGCGGAACGCGGAGCGCTGCCCGCCTGGATGCGCCTCTACTTCTACGGGATGCATGGCATCACCCTGGACGTGCTGGTGTCCTCGGCCAGGCGCTTCGCCCGCAGCCTGGATCTGCGGATGTTGGGCTTCTCGTCGCCCTACCGCTGCCTCCTGCACTCGCTCACCCACTTCGCCCTGGAGCAGCTCTACCTGCAGCGGCTGCGCTGCCCCAGCTCCTTCCTCTTCAATTTCCTGCTCTACCCCTGGGCGCACGTGGGGTTGCAGACCCTGGCGGGCCAGGCACTGCTGCTCAGTCTAGGCGGCGGGCCGGGGGGCGCGGCGGCGCCAGGGGCGCTCGACCTGGCGCTGCAATACGTACTGGCGCTCTACCACGGCCAAGTGTTCCTGAAGCGCTTCCTGCGTTTGCGATACCCGCGGCAGCTCCAGCAGCAAACCAGGGACACACTACCGGCAACCCCGGACGCCCGAGTCCTTTTGGAGGCGGGAAGAGGACGACATGGACCCCGGAGCCCCAAGGGCGCAGAAGGAGCCCCCAGCCAAGGTCTGCCAGACCTCCTCCGCTTCCTTTTCTTCGGAATGCATGGCTTTCTGGATGAGATCTTCTTCACCTTTTTCTTCAATGTTCTGGGGCAGGGGGACGGATCCAGCAGTGGGCACACATCGCTCTGGTCCTTCTTCATGTATGGCAGTTGTAGCTTTGTGGTTGAAAAACTCTACTTCCACCTTCACTACAGCCGTGGCTGGGGCACCTGGAAGAGGGTGCCCATCTATGTGATCTTTATCTATGCGTGGGAGTTGTCCTGGGGTCTGGGGCTTCGCATGTGTGGGGCCTGTTCCTGGGACTATTCTCACTATCCGCTCAATTTCATGGGCCTCATCACGTTGATGTATTTACCTGGTTGGCTATTCCTTAGTGTGTACCAGGACCTACTGTCCAACGTGTTGTGGAGGGTGCAGTATGTTCCAACAAACTAAGACTGGAAAATAAAAAGAAAAGAAAGGAAGGAAGGAACCTGACGATTGGATGCAATTTATTTTTACACATTTAACACAAGGTGGCTTTGTTTTCAGTCTTTTAATTTTTATACAGTTTACTAAGCTCTTCTAACTTGTTTTACTTGACGTTTCAGTTTTCCAGACTGCTCGGAATCTATATGTAAAGTTCAGTACTTTGAAGTGTTACTCAAAACTAACTCAAATTGTTTAACTCATCAATAATTTAAACCTTTTCGAGGGCAAACAACTAAACCACTCTATCTTAAACATCAGAAACCAGTAATAGTCACTGACCCTCGACGAGTGATAACCACTTATTTTTCTGTTCTTCCGTAAAAGTTTTCAGATCAGAGACCAGTGATTTTTACAAGTTCTTGATTTAATGAGCTGTTTACTTTCTTTGTAATGCAATTTCATTTTGTTTTCTTGCCATGTTGACCAATGGCAGCTGAAAATCTATGTCTTGTATGTTCTTCAGAAACTTCAGCCACAGCTCTTAAAGTGCCTCTGTCTAGTCTACCCGTGAGAGGAAGACCGCAAGGGTGAAAAACATCCCATGAACACATTTTAACAAGAGCAGTCTTTTGTGTCAACTCCAACAGGTGACACTGTGTTGGTAACATTTGGTCACCGTCTTGGAAATGATTGCTTTCCAACGTTGGCTAGCCTTAAACACTATTTATGTTAACGTTGCTCAGAACACATTATCTAAACTTTTGTAACTGTGCAATAACCTAAATGTTTGCCCTAGATGTCCCAGGGTCAAGTGAAATTATACCACCTTCAATGGTGTTCTAACTCTAAGGCCCCTTTTTCCTACATGGAGCTTCAAATATAGAAACAGTATCTTGGAATAAAATGAATCTTAATTTTCCCTCTAATTACATTAGGCCTAATTGTTTTCTCTACTTACTGATACGTTTTCACCTTATTTCTCTCACAGTCCCCCCCCCACACACACACTCACACACTTTTTTCCTTTCAGGCCCAGAATTAGGGGTCAGGCCTGATGTAGTAATGCACCTTATAAATGCATCAGAGCTTTGGACAGCTTATGATTAATTAATGTCTAAAAGCTCCAAAGTTAAATGAGATGATGGAAGCCATTCTAAGAAATGATATCTAATTGATTAATAATGTACTCTGAGGGTATTTGTTGTTTTATTGTACTCAGAGGAGAGAGTGGAATAGAGCGCAGCTCAGCCAAGGATGACTAATAACCTCTCAGCTTTCAGTTCGAAGATAATTAGGAAAACTTAGAATGTGTATTAATGGGTTTGAATTGTCCAATTGCCTGTGCTGTAAAAAGGGATGGTTTCTGTTTCGAAAAAAAGAAAGAAAGAAAGAAAGAAAGGTAGGTTTGCTAGGAGAATAGCAAAGAATGTGTGTTTAGGTTTGATGTCAGATGCATCAGATTTGATACTCTAATCCATCCTGTGAGGTTGTGAGCTAAATTATAAATGTCACAGAGTCAACCCCACCTGTGAAATGGAAGAGAGCAAGCTACTTGCTCTCATCAGTCACAACTTAAAAGTAAGCTCCATACTTGCCAAAGGTTTTCTCTCTGGTTCTTTACGACGCTCTGTAACAGGTCAACGGTTTCTGAAAATTACTGGTTACTGGAGAGGAAAATAGGGAAGTAGAGACAGGAGAGTTAGGAAGATGCAGGACGAGATATTTGTAATGCAAATGTGACGCATGCAGGGGAACCTGAGGGAAGGGTGGCCCCACTGCACACCCCCACCTTCCTGTGAATGGCCACTCAGCTCCTTGGCTGCTGAAATGCTTACCAGTTTGTTCCCACTCTGTCCCATCTCACCTCCAGCATAAGCTGCTCTCAGAGCCACTGAGAAGCCTGCTAACCTCCTCCAGCTCAGAAATCGCCCACTTAGGAACACCTGCCTTATTATTTTCTTTTTAATTCTGTGCTCATCAATGGGGTAGAGTAAGGTCTTTCAGACATTGGACTTGTTCAGGAAATAGTTACCCAGCCTCCAGTAATTAGTAGACGCTTCTCAGGACTGTGTATACACAGTAATGAACCAAATATCTCTGTCCTTATAAAGCTGGAAATGGACCGTATTGATTCTGTGAAATTGTACTTCTTTTTTCTGTTTGTGTTTTTGGTTTTTGCTGTTGTGTTTTTTTTTTTTTTTCAAGACCACTGTTTCTGTAATAGGTGATGAGCAACAAGAGTTAGAACTCTCATCAGTCCTGTCCCTGGAACATAACAATCCATTCTTCCAAAAAAGTAACAAGACTAACAAACCCCCCACCCCCTATCTCCACCAAGTGCTAGCAGTGAATACAGGACGTGATTAGGCTGGGTGGTAACTCAGTATAATGTCTTAGAGCTTCTCATTTTGTGTTTGCTCAACTGCTTTAAGAAGTTGCTGTGATCTTTGACCCTTCAGGATAAGGGAACCAACAAATCATTTAACTTTGTTATTATTAGTAGTTTAGAAGAGGAAATAGTAAGGCGGTATGGTAGATAATATTTAAATAGCGTTTGCTCTCTGACAAAACTTCTCTAAAATATATATATATTAGACAGATATTGAATTAAGAACACATTCTTACATTCTATGCCTTAAGTGAATATACATACAGTATATATTTTAAATACATATTTATGTATGCATACATATTCACTTAAACTTTCAAGAACCCTGCTTTTATAGATGAAGGCAATAAAACTGAAGCCCAAATGGATTCCGTTAACTACTTGAGTTATACAGCTTTTGAGCATTTGTATTTGAGTTAGTGGATGCTGGACTCCAATCTGTTCTTAACAGCAGCTTGGTTGTGCCTCAGTCTACTGGCCTCAGTGATTTGGGTCTTGTCTGGACTGTTCTTCCCTTGACTGAGATTTACACAAATAGCTGTATAAAAGGTAGACATTGTTTGCAAAAGACTCACTTTGGGTTTTTTTTTTATTATGTGGTACATAGCAAATGAATTAATATCAGGATACATAACTGACAATCGGCCTCCATAGATAATGCCTTTATATTAAAGCAGTGCTCTGAAAGGAAGTTCCTCCTATAAACTAAGTTAATATGCAACATAAAATGCAAACATAATATGATAAGATTCAAGGTAGGTCATTATCACAAGCTATGAATATGCATATAATTAATCACTGCTAAACATTAAATATTATATTTAGAGCAGATATCATTGTAAGGACTAACCCCAAATGTGAGAAAATTTGTAGCCAGGTGTATTAGCACACAACTGTAATCCCAATATTGAAGATGCTAAAGCCGTAGGATTGCAAATTTGAGGTCACCATAGGGCACATAATGATATCTTGTCTTTACAAAAGCAGTATCTTTTACAAAGACATATATCCTGATTTCTACTGAAGAAAAAATATTCTTAGTAGAAAGACATAAAAGTAGCAAGTGTACTTAGTATATACAATGCTGAGATTTCTTTTTAGAAGTACTTGAAATTTTAAGTAAATCCTATTGATTTCTGTGAATCTAAAGAGGAGTATGTGTTGTTGAATTTTCATGCGAATAATGAATACAGAAGTACAGATATCAAAGGAAAACTCCAATAAAGTTGCTAACACATTGTGTTATTTCAAACATTTCCATGATTTGGTGTACTTGATTATTTTGTGTTCTGGTAATTGACAATTCATATTGCAGCCGAACAACACACACAATTTAGAAAGATATGACTTGTTTTGTTGTTTGAGAAACATACTTAATTGTATAATCCTATCTCCTAAGAAATATTTACAAAATATTTTTTATTGTTTTGAATTTGAAATAGTCTCTGTCGGTTTGGAAGCCCTGGTTCTATCGGATGCTGAAGCAGTTTGGGGAACAGCTTCAGCTCATCTTCCACTTTGAAGGTTCCATAAAACATCTATATGTCTGAACATAGGCTGTACTCATGACACACTTAGTAGTAAGTCATTGTACCGAAGTATTTGACCTTGCAATAAACCCAGTGTTTACATATATTAAAAAACATTACAACTCTTTACTATTTCAATTAATTTCGAATACACTAACTCTAACAGTAATTACTAGAGCTAAGTCCTTTACCAAAGGAAAATTTAAAAAAAAAAAAAAGGAAAACATCATCCATCACCCCTCACCTCCCTCCATGAAACACATAAACACCTATTCTGTGGTCATGGGAGGTGGCAGTAAAGGATGGTTCTGTTCTACAGCCAGGACTTTTTTTTAGAGTTAGTAGCAGAGGAAGGAACAAACGTAGCAATTGTCTCTCTGTCTAATGAACCCATTCATTAGACTTGGCCTCGTTCTGATTTTCACACTGCGGCAGCAAGCCATCACACAGGCAGTTGATTCCAGTCACAAGCAACCCAGACTGCAAAGCACTCAGGGATGTGTGAAGAGAAAGCTTTGGTGAAAACACTTTCTCATAATGTCGGGAGAAATGTAAAAATGGATAATGTTTTCCTTAATTTTAAAATGATCTTTTCAAGGTAACCAGACAAGGAGGGGAGTCCACATTACAAGCTTTCACATTTCAAGTTCTTAAGATGTAGAGTTTTGCAAAATCTGTCATTACACTTGCTCATCATGGTGGTTTCTAAAGCCAACAAATGAAATAAGAATACAGAATAGGAAGAGCAGTAACAGAAGACAATAGAGAAGGTGGTGTCCAAGAGCCTTGGAGACATGAAACTGTTATTTTTATGGCCAAAAACATTTCATAAAGATTGGTGATAGTCTAAACTTGCATTTTAAGAAAATGTTAAATTCACAAAATACTGCATGCCGTGTTTTGTTGGACAACAAGTAAACATTTTATTGTGTTACTATTGAATGTAATTTTTTTAAATTTTGTATAATAATCAATTTATTGAGCCAAAGTTTAATAGTTTTAATAGTAGAGCAGTTAAGTTTCTTCACAGTGTTCAGGTAAAGAAACCACAACTAATTATAAACCAAAGATCACAGAACTGTAAATCTTGATGAAACAAGAGATCATCTTCAGGAAACAGGACCACCTGCCATCTTCTTGACCACAATCAATAATAGTTATCATCTCAGACCTCTGTAGTCAAACCATCTGTCCCATCCCATGACTTTTCTAGAAAATTCCTAAATGGCCAGTCATGGTGGCATACTTCTAATCCCAACACTCTGCCATTGCAGGTAGGGAGATATTGGGCGTTCCAATACTGGACAGCAATAATTAATTCCTCCAGATGACAAAATGTATTATCAATTTCATTATTTATAGATATACACAAGAATCACTTTGTGCCTAGGAGAGGGGTCTAGGTTAATTTTATTCTTTTCTTTTCTGCTTGGGTGTTTCCTTAGGCGTAAGGCTTAAGTACAGTTTGTCTGTATCATGAGGGTTTTTTGTTTTGTTTGTTTATTTGGCTGGTTGGTTGGTTGGTTGCTTGCTTGTTTGCTTGGTTTTTTGAGACAGGGTCTCTCTGTGTAACAGCCCTAGCTGTCCTGGAGCTAGCTCTTGTAGACCAGGCTGGCCCTGAACTCTCAGTGATCTGCTTGCTTCTGCCTCCTGAGTGCTGGAATTAAAGGCATGCCCCACCATGGGGTATTTTTTAACTGATAATCTAATCAAGGACTCCCAACTGTCCTTTAAATTATTTCTTCTAAAGTGTGAATTTAAAAGAAAGAGGATATGAACCTGAACTGGTTGTAGTTGGCTAGTGTGTTTCGCTATATGTTTCTTCTACAAAAGCCCATTTAATCACTTTTTTCCTTCTTGAGGTCTCTAGATTATTGTTGTTTTTTAAAATGACATACTGGATTTTGGTAAGTTTTAAATATTTTGAAAATGAAATGAAAATAAAATGTTTTAATTTGTTAAATGTTTGTTGCTGGGAACTGAATGTGGTACATATTTGTCTTCATTTGTGAATTTTATTAGTGTCTTGCTATTTGAGCTCTGAATACTATAGATAGATTGTATTAGGCACCACTATACAGAAAATCAAAACCAATGAAAAATAGAGAGGGGAGACATATGCGTGGAATTTTAGTGTGTGTGAATGGATGCATAAGCAGCATTTGTGTATATGTGTATGGAAATTGAAAGGGAGACAAAAAGAGATGGAGAGACACACACATGGAGGGAGGGAGAGAAGGAGGGAGGGACCAAAAGAGGAAGGGACCAAAAGAGGGAGGGAGGATATTTATTATAAAAACTCAAATCCCATGATTATATAGAGTCAGTGAGCTGGAGAGCAATGAGCTGGTGTTATAATTCCATCCCATAGCCAGAAGCCTCAGAGCAAGATGAGCAGAGCTAGTGGCAAAGTAATAGTTCAAAGGCCTTTAGGTTTGAAACTCAGGAATAACTGATATCTCACTTTGAGTCTGAAGATGAGAAAATAATTATGTCTAATTTCAAAAGAACTTGAAGAAATTCACTCTGGTTGTCAGCCTTTTAACCTTATCTAGGGATTTATCTAATTCAACGAGGCCCATCACTCCACAGATTGCAATATATGCTCCTCATTTGGTCAATTTAAGTGGTAAAATCATTCGCCAACAGCCTTGCTGAAACAGTTAGAGCAATGTTTGACTACATATGCAGGGATCCTGTTATCAATCAAGTAGACACATAGAATTAACATCCCAAGTCTAGCGCTTGTCAACTCAACATCGACAAATATCTTCTTAAATTATAAAAACACTGATGGAATACATAGCAAAGGCACTGGAAGATAGTGATTCTATATCCACAGATGAACAGAATTAGTGTTGTCTAAATGATCATATTATCAAAAGCAGTCTACAGATTTAATATTATCCACATCAAAATGCCAATGGTAATTTTGACAAAATTAGAAAAAGGAAACCCTAAAATTTATATGTAAATTCTGAATAGTTAAAGCAATCTTAATAAAGAGAACAACAGTGGAGGCTTCACACAATCCAATTTCAAAATATACAGCCAAGCTATAATAGCAAAAAAAACCCACATTATTGGTATAAAAATGCAAGTAGACAAATGGAATGGAATAAAGTTCTCAGAAATAAACATCCAGTTGTAGTCAGCTGATTCTTGCCAATGCTGTCAAAACATAATTTGGAGAAAAGACAGCCTCTGTAACTAAGGAAACTAAATATAGAAGAATGAAACTGTATTCATATTTCTCATGCTGAGCAAAAATGTACTCAAA